CCCTCCGCAGCCGGGGAGGAGAACCCTTTGGGAATACGGGATGTCTCCCTTCCAAACCGGCAGGGCTAGGCACCCCCGGGCCAATGTGCCCCTTGGGTTGGCACCCCTGGGTGGGCAGGACTGCACACCCCAAAGCAGCCTCCCTGCAGTGGGTGGTCGGGTGTTCCCTGGGGCACAGGCTCCTGGGGATCCCACCCCTTCCCTGGGCTGGGGGTCTGCAGGTGACATCCCCAGGGTGGGCAGGAGAGACAGGCGTTACGCTTTGGGTAGGCAGAGCAGGTTCCCACGGGCAGGGCTCCCTGAGTCCTCCTCTGGGCAGGGCTCCCCGAGTCCTCCTTTGGGCAGGTGCCAGAGCCACCCCAGCGAGTGCTGTGCTGCTTGCTGCTCTGCCTGGCTCTGGGCCAGACCTCCTGCGCTGCCTCCATGGGTGGGAGTGAGCTTGGGAAAGGAGAAGGCCTGCACGTCCGAGGTGGCTGGTGGAAGCACCCAAATTCACCCAGTGCTGATCTTTTTTTTGTTGGTGTAAAATGCTTTTTAATTCCATAATGTGCCTGGACACCTAGTCAGAGCTTAGGTTCCCTCTGTGCCTGGTTTGTAGCAGGAAGAGATTGGCATGTCCCAAAGAGAGTGGCACTGCATCGTGTTTGCCTACAGGGACCTGCTTATCCATGTCCCAGAGACTGTCCTGAGCACACCTGACCCTGTCACTGTAGCAGAGCCTGGGGGGTGCTGTGAGACCAGCCTGTCCTCCCAAGCCTGTAGGGGTGACACGTCTGGTTTTCCCTTGCTGCTTCCCTGCAAAGTCTGGTTCTCCATGTCCCTGAACATCCCCCATTGCACAGCAGATGAGCTGTATCCTGCAGCCGCCGTAGTGTGGAGCGGTGGGACGCGGTGTGACCGTGTGTCTGCTCGTTGCCGATGCCTCTCTTGCTGTGTCTCCTTTCAGTGACTCTCTATGGCGTGTTCACCAACCACTACTCTGCGAATGGCCCCTCTCGTTGTCTGCTGCTGGAGCTGCTGGACATCAGTGTGTCCGAGCTGCTGCTGCACTCCAGCAACCAGGGCTGCTCCATGTGGATGATCCAGCACTGCGCGCGGGACGTTCTCGAGGCCCTGGCTTTCCTGCACCACAAAGGCTACGTGCACGCAGACCTCAAGCCTCGCAACATCCTGTGGAGCGCCGAGGAGGAGTGCTTTAAGCTCATTGACTTTGGACTTAGCTTCAAAGAGGGAAATCAGGTTTGGAATGTGCTGCTCTTGAAGTGGATGGCTCTGTGTTGAGTTGTGTGGTTCTGTGATGCTTTTGGCTCGTGAGTGTGGGACTTGACATGATCTGATCAGAGTAGTAGCTGAGCTGGTGCTGAGGGTGTCCTGGAAAAGGCTAAAATGTTATCTAGCCCCGGAAACAAAAGCTCATGTTCCCATTCTCCCTGCATGTGTTAGCCTTTGTGCTACTCATGACCCTGAATTCCAAAGTTAATGATGCACAGATAAAAGTGGTGTCCCAGCTTCCTGGGAAGTTGGCTGGTTTTTATGTAGGCAAACGAGTGGGAGCACCCAGAAATGTAGAATTCCCTTTTATCATCCCTTATCATATGTAGTAGTAATCCAGGCTTCACCATCAGCCTTCCCAGTCAATTGTGTTATCTCTGGCAGTGTCCTTGTGCTTGTTTTTAATTTCATCCTGTCTTCAGCAGCTTCACTTTTTCAGGAAGTCTGGATGTTTCTTTCCCATGCGTATCAAAAGGCCATACCCTGGTCATGAGTGGGCAGTGTTTGTTCTTTACTGACAGGGACAATCTTTGTCTGTTCTGCTCTGTTTTTCCTGTTTGCTGGGCTTTTGCTCCCTCTTCTTGCTGTCATTTTTTTTGTTTGGTGATAACAAGGTTTGTAAGTTTGTCCTTGCCCTTTTTATTCTCGTCTGTGGCTTCTGGTGAAAGCAGAGAGCCTCAGGAGGTTCTGCTGTTGGCTTGATAGAGCTTCTTTTCACCCCTCCCTCTCTCCATAGCAGCCTGTGAGGGTCTCAGTAAAGCTCTTCCATGAGGTACTCTCGTAGCACATTTGCCTTTAATCAGTGAGTGATGGATGGTAAGTCTAGTAAATGAGCTATAATTTTTTCTGTGTCCTGCCTATATTGTCCTGGTTTGTCCCTATTCCATGCACTTTACTCATTTAGATGTTTTACATTCTTTTTTTTCTGGTGCACCTGGTATTGACAGTACAGCCCACTGATTGTGAATATCAGAGGGTTGTGTGGGTGACCTGTCTCTGAATTCTTAGGTACAGGAGCTGTTTTTAATGTTTGGACTTCTTAACTCCTCCATGTTGTCTTCAGTTCTCCCACATTCTTGGCTGAGTTTGTGCTGGTAATCTGTTGCTGTCTATCAGGAAAATACATGCTCCTGGTGTCCTGTGTCTAATGCAGATATTTTTGTTTAATTCAGATCTGTGTTTTCCTGCTTGCTCTGCGAGTTGCCTCATAATAGTTGATTGAGTGTTTTTTTTGCATCCATGGTTCCTTCCAATCTGCTTCTTTGGACTGAGTTTCCTTTGCCCTTTCTCAGAAATTCACTGACTGTATGAGTGAACCTTCTGACCCTGCTTTGAATGTGCACTGGGTATCAGCGTCTCCTCCCCACCCCTGCCTTGGGCAGCAGCATACGTGCTTATTACTTCCTTATCTGAATCAAAGATCATCCTGCTTTTATTTATGACAGCCCTGCCAAGCTTCTCCTTACATAAATTTTCCTGCCGTTACTGTTTAACAGAGAATGTCTGTTCAGAGCAAGGGCTTCACCACTTACAGCTCCAAAAATGCTTTAGGTGGTAGGAGTGAAATTCCATCTCGCTCTTTTTACTGGTGCTGTTGACCACAGTGTTTTCTCTATCTCTAAATGTTTTTGGTGGAGCTGCCAAACTGCTGCTTTTGCCATGCTGGAGGTTCTGCTCCTTGCTGATAGGAGGAGGGACACTGATGAGCAATTTGTGTATCCATTTTGGTTTTTTTTTTTTAAGTTCATAAACCACTTTTGAGTTCTGTTGCCAGAAAATATCTTCTGTAAACTTTTCAGTCAGAGGACCACCTAATCGTGGTTTGAATATATTCTCTTGGTAAGAATTCCCAATCCAGTCCTTATCCAGGAGGAAGTAGGCTTGCATATTCTCCTGTCATTCTTTGAGGTGCATCAGTGTGTCTAAAACAAGCCTCACCATGTTAAAAAGGTGTAGCATGTAGTTTGTCTGTGCATGCTTAGCAGACTTGGCTAGACAAAGCCACAGCTGACTGATCAGGTATTGCTTGGGAGCAGGAGGCTGGACTGGAGCCTTCAGAGCAGCCTCTCCAGCCAGCACTTGTGTGAGTTTATGCTTTCCTCTCTTTTAAGCAGGCAGCGTGTGGGCATTTTCTTTCCCTGTGCCAGCGATGGCAGCTGGGCAGGTATTGATTGCTGCAGCACTTCAGGCTGAGATGGGGAGAAAAAAAGAGGTGTGTGGGAAGCACCTTGGATAATTTCCTTGTCTGAGTGTTAGGTGCTTGCTTCATTCTTTAAATGTTTTGTTCCAGAGAACATCAGCATCTGAATAATGGCAGCAGTTACTGATCTCACTCTTCAGACAGGGCTGTTTGCGCTCTCACACAACCAGTGGGGGAGAATAATGTGGGTGTTCAACCCTTATCCTGAAATTTCTAGCATCTTCTGCGCTTAGAAGAGGTTAAAGTGCCAGTTCACAGTGACATCCAGCCTCTTCTTCCCTGCAGTGCTGTCTTTCAGAGAGGTCAGATGTGAGTGGGATGCCTGCTGTTTTGCTGGAAGATGTTTTCTTTCCAGACAGTCTTGGTTTTTTTTTTCCTCAGCACAGCAGCATAGGGGGTTGAGCTGCCTGCCTCACATGACTGGCTGTACACTGCTTTCTGTCCATTCAGCAGTGGAGGACCTCTTTGGAAGGATGTCTGTGAGCTGATTTAAGGGTAGAGTGGAGAACCTAAGTCTGGAAAATTAATTTTGTCTGTGTGTTTGATCTCCTGTAGGATGTGAAATACATTCAAACAGACGGGTATCGGGCTCCAGAGGCAGAACTGCAGAACTGCCTGGCACAGGCAGGGCTCCAGAGTGAGACGGAGTGTACCTCTGCTGTGGATCTATGGAGTCTGGGAATCGTTTTACTGGAAATGTTCTCAGGAATGAAACTGAAACATACAGTCCAATCTCAGGAATGGAAGGTGAGTGAGAGGTGCTGCTGTCCTGCCTGCATCGAATGAGTCCTCCTGCCTCGTGTTCGTAACCTGGATTTGTGAGATAGCACCTGGCAACTAGGTAGTGTTTCCAGGATGTTTTTCTAATCCTATTGCCTTGAGAATTAAGGTTCCAGAGCCTTAAAGACCCACCTGACCTGTGGGACTGGCATGTCTGAATGCTGTGTGTGTTCAGGTTACGGAAAGCTGAGGGCTCTGGGTGTCTGTGTTTTGGGCCTGTGTCTTGCTTGGATTGAGAGATGAGTTGTGCTGGCTGTAGTTCTCACACAGTAGGAAGAATGAAATGGATGTCTGATGTCTGCCAACTAGTTTAGCAGCACAATTACAGAGGAATTATTTGCTGGTAGCTCTAATTTCGGGAGCTTGTTGTAAGTCAGTATTGTGAGAAAACAAGAGGAAGGCTCTGTGTTGTGAACCTGGAGCCTGACTCTGTTCTGTAGGAAATTATTTTGTATTCCCCTTCCTGATCAGAGTATCCTTTCACAGCATCATAGCCTGCACGTGGAAATTTCTAGTTTTTGCATAGGCAAATGGAAAAAACTTATTTTGATGTAAGCCTGCTAGTTTAACATGGGCTATTGCAAGCTTTGCACTGGTCTGTTTTCTACCTCCCTAAGCACTGTTTCCTTTTCTTTCCAGACAAACAGTTCTGCCATCATTGATCGCATATTTGCCAGTGAAGGGGTGGTTAATTCAGCCATTCCAGCTTATCACCTCAGAGACCTTATCAAAAGGTACCTTATCATATATGATAACTATTGCTTAAAGATACTCTCCGTGAAGACAAGCCCATTGCCTTGCTCTTGGCAGCTTAAATCTGCAGTATTAGATGTGGGCTCTTTTTTAAATCTCCCTGCCACTGTGCTAGTAACAAGTGCAAGCATTAGCAGAGATGTTTTGGCTCCTCTGATTTTGGCTTAGTTTGGAGTCAGCACATAGAGAATATCAGTCATGATGATGATTTGCTGCTTGAGTACTTTGCACTTACAGCTGATTAGATTATATTTGGAAAAAACTGGAGACTTTTCTTCTTTTGGGGAGTGTTGTCAGAAATGAGGGAAGGGGGACAGACAGTTCTGCTTCTCCACTGCTGTCAAGATTCAAATGCACTTGTGCAGCTCTGCTGAGAAGTCTGCTAAAGGGATTGTTTTTGCTGTCCTGTGACTGCTCTGAGGCTACAGAGTGAATGAGGACACAACTTGGCAGAAATAGTATCGGGAGCCACTGGTTAAGCCAAGTAGGGGGATGTTCTCAGGCAAGCCCTGGGCTATTATCTGCTTTGAATCCCATTTGTGGAAAGATGTGGGAGCACCTTGGAGTTCATGGAGTGCAAGAAATCGTATGTGTGTCTGAGATGTGGGCTGAATGGCCTGAGGAGGTGGTGCTGGAACATGCTGTGTTCCTCATGAACTCGTAAGTGAGCAACTTCCATTATTTGGTGCTGAGAAACATCAAGAAGAAAATCCTACTATAGCATGTACCCAAAAGCCCTCAGGGGATCCTTCTGGTGTGCTTCAGCTGCAAATTGGAAGATGTGCTTCTTTCTCTCCTCTTTGTACTATAACCACCCTGCAGGTAGGGTATTCTTCTGTACTGGCTTCCAGCCTGAATGGAATTTATCAGTGCAGGAACATCACATGCAGTAACATAAGGGTGTCTTCTCTTCCAGCATGCTTCATTGTGACCAAGGAAAGCGAGCCTCCGCGGAGAAGGCTTTATGCAGCCCCTTCTTCAGCATTCCCTTTGGTAAGCTGTGCTTGTTGCCTCTGCTCACAGCTCTCTCAGCATGTGCTGGAAGCAGCACAGTGTGCAGTTAAACTGTGTTGGTTCTGGTTCTGGCTTTGTTGGTGCTCCTCTGTCCATTGTTGCTCTCTCCAGCCCCATGGGCTGACCCTTTTCCCTGACTGGACTCCCATTAAGTTCTCACCAAGATTGTATTGGCAGCAGCATTCAGATGAGGGGAGAGAAAAAAGCAAGATATTTACCTAATATTGTAACCACTGAGGTGCTTTTAAAGAGTGCAGTGCTATTTATGGTGAGTGGGTGGGTTTTCTTATGCCAAGTGTTTTCCAGTTCAGAAACCACCAGGAAGGTGAGCAAGTAGGGCAGTGGCTGATGGTGACATCTGCTGCTGCCTCTGCACAGGTCAGATAATCCCAGTGTGTTCTCGTGGTGTGAGCCTGTTTTTGCAGTGACTAGTCTGCCTCTTCTGGTGCCTCTGTGGCAAGTCATGGACAGATGTCACTGTCACTTTCTCTGGTGCACTCTCCTTGATTTAACCAAATAGTGATGTTTCCCCTGGAGCTTGCCATGTGGATGACAGAAGCTTAGCAAAAGATGGGCTGAAACTGCCCTGTTTAGGCTCATGTATCTCCCTGTTTTCTGTTCTAAAAGTAACATAGTAGCACTCTCTAGAGCTTGTCTGCTTTCAAGAACACCAGTGAAGAGTTCTGCATCCAGCTTTTCTGCAGCATTAATAAATGCTTCAGGCATCCAGCTTCTGGCTGAGCTGGCATTTTCCCTTGAATCTTAGCCCTGCTTTTCTTAAGCTCTTTGGTACACCTTGCAGCGAAGGTTATTAAGCGTTGCTTCTTACAGATACTGATATTTCTGTGTATTAGGCAAAGGTAACAAACTTTTTCCTGTTTTTAAACTTCACTTGTGTCCCAGAGACTGGGACTGTGTAATCAAAGCCACCTTCCATGGCTGAAGCTTGCAGCCAGTATTGCTTTAGAGCAGAGGGAATAGTCTATTGGCAGTGCTTTGTGGTCTAGATTTAAACACACAGACCTCTAACTGTACCTAGGAAGGTGCTTCTGTGGTTAGTTTATATAACACCTTCCATTTTTCTTAGTTCTCTTTGCTGGTTCTTTTCTTTGCCAAACTTGTACATGTGCCTGTCTGCACAAAGAGGCATTTACTGCTGCTTTCCTAGGAAGTCAGAAAATGATCTGTCATTGCCTTTCACTTGGACACAGCTTTTCTGTTTAGACCAAAGACAGCTGAGAATGGCTTTCCTTGTCATTTACAGCCAAGTCTTGACTTTCCAGTTCATCAACTTCTTTCCTGTGCTACTTGCAGGCTCCGTGTTGTCAGTGTGGTTGGTATTGCCTGGCATTTGAAGACGAGCAGAGGGGCTGGACAGAAAGCAGGTCCTAGGGCAGAAGGGTACTGCGAAAAATGCATTTGTCACTTGGTTACAAGAAGACCAGGTGGCTCAGAGTCGTAGGGGGTAGTTTGTCTCACTCTCTGAAAACAGACATAGGAAATAAAGGACAGACTTACTTTAGTGTCTGTCTCATCTCCCAGGTAGTAAGTGGCAGGGCAAGAAGAAACAGCCTCGAGTTGCACCAGAGGAGTTTTAGATTGGATATTAGGAAACATTTTTTCACCAGAAGGGTTATCAAGCATAGGAAAAGGCTGCCCAGGGAAGTGGTGGAGTCACCATCCCCAGAGGTGTTTAAAAGGTGTGTAGATGTGGCACCTGGGGACATTGTGTAGTGGTGGACTTGGCAGTGCTGTGGGTTGGACTTGGTGATCTGAAAGGTCTTTTCCAACCTAAACGATTCTATGATTCTGTGAATAAAAGGGGTAGCATATAAGACCAAGGTGACACTTAAATGTTCTTGCAGTGTTCAGTTCACCTGATGTCTCTTGGTTGCTAAAAGATTGTCTCGGTTGGTCCTAGAGCTTCCCTTGGAGCTGGAACATGCCTGGTTATCTGAATGCAGCACCTTCCTTCAAGGGCTGCCCCTGAATGCTGTCTAGGCATCATCTAGACTGATAAGGCCTTTCATACTCTAAGCTTTTTATAATGGCTCTTCCATGTCAGGCAGGAGGAGATTTATAGCATCTGTGCTTGCCTTGCATCTCTTCTTGCATTAAGATCAACGTCGTCTGCCTGTGCCTGGCAGAGATGTCAACTCTCTCATATGTATTGTGTGCTTAGCTTGGAAAAGTATTTCCAAGGAAGTAATAGTCCACTGTCTTTGAAAGCATGTTCAGAAGGCTCAGACTGAAGTATTGGAACCATTTCTCTTTTCCCTCCTCTCTCTCATGTCAACTGGCTGAGCTGTGAGTTACTGCTATTGTGTTCAACTGCTGTAGCTGCCAAAACAAATAAACATATTAACACCCTCCAGGTACTGCAAGTTGGGCTGCCAGATCTTAAACTCATGTCTGGCTTGACAGTCCCATCCAGGAACATGAAACCAAGCTTTTTTTCCTGGGGAAGTGACACTGTCCCTGCAGCTTTGAGTTTGTAGAGGACTGAGTGTCCTCAGATGTGAGTCTCTGTTTGCTATTAGCCTTTCCACCTTGACTGTTTCCTTCTCCTGCAGTAGTATCTATGCTACACTGTTCTGGGCCATCCTGCAGCTGTTTGTTTTCTAGAGTCAAGTACCTCATGTCCAATGCCCAAAGGGTTTAATTCTGCTCCTGTGAAGTTGTTCACATGATGACTGCTCACCCACCTTGTGGCCATGCGTGATTCTACAGCACTGCATTGTTTAAGCAGCTAAAGTTTTCCCCATTTCTGTTGCAAGGTTGTATGGTGGTCTTTAAAACCATGGATTGCAGTTGGATTTTGAGGCAGGGGGAGGGTTTTCATGGTGTTCAGAGAAGAACCGAATGATATTCAAGGGAGATCTGAGGCCTGTGCCTTTAGTATAACTTAAGAACTGGAGTTACAGAAGCTGACCAGCCTGTTTTCATCTTGTCTGGTAGCAGTAACAGGAGAGGCAGGTTGCAGAGTAGTTCTTTCATCTTCTTCCATCTCCGTGTGTATGAGGCAGTTTGTTCAACTAGTATAGCTCTCGAGATCACATCAGTTGCTGAGGCTGAGCTAAGTAGACACAACTCTAGTCTTACTTTTAAAAGCAATTTCAGGTGCTGGTCTCAGTGTAACTGCAGAGTGCACTGAACCCTTTGCAAGAGCCTCTCAGTACACAGCTGAAGGTAAGCTGGAACAGAGAACCGAGACTGTAAATGCAGGAAATAGGAGAGCGAAGGAAAACTGTACCACAAAGAGCAGTAACTGCTTGTGTATCACAGTGTATATAAAGTCAACTTCCTGGTTTTTTGCTCCTTTGACTTTGATTTCTTCTTTTTGATTCTGTGGGTGTCAAATAGCTCCTCATATCGAAGATCTGGTGATGCTCCCCACACCTGTGCTGAGGCTGCTAAATGTTCTAAGCGATGCTTCTCTGCAGTGCGAAGAAGAATATGAAGGTTCGTGCAAGTCATGCAATTCCCATATAGCAGTGTTGTCTTACTCTGTTTTGTTTGGCTCTGGGAATGTGAGAGCAAGCAGTTGAGCTTAATTAATAGGCACAAGAACAGCGAACAAAGAGCTGCTCAGCTGAGATTTGGTACCAAGTGGGTCAACTGCACCGACAGAGAATAGACTAAGAGACTGAGAGAGAAAGCAGAGCTTGTAGGGAGTTCTTAACCTTTTTTGGTTAAATGCTCACAGACTTCATAATGTGTGTGTGGCTGTGAGCTTCTTCTGGACACATACAGGATTCTGGAGCCCAACAGCAAAGATTCTTGAAAGTTTGCTAATGAACTTATCCAGGATCTCAACAGAAAACTGAAATATCTCATTGAAGTTGTTAAACTGTGATATATGGCCAGGCATGTCTGTGGAATTTGTAGTTCTGCTTGCTGTCAAACCCATGTGAGTGGCAAAAGCTAGAGAGCTCTGGGGACATGAGTTTAAAGGCTGAGTTCTGCTCACACAAAGAAGGGTTTGTGGCAACTGCTTTAGTTCCCCTTCTCCAAGTGCCATAACAAGCACTGTAAATCCCAAATATTTTTAGCTACTGGAAGGCCCATCTTTCTGTGCAAGGAAAAGCACTGTTCCTGTGCTCCAAACCCTGCTGTCAGAGGTTCCTTGCCTGCAGGTCTGTGTTCCTGAGGCTCAGTTCAGACACTTCCATCCCGTTACATGGCCATTAAGCTGTGTCAGCTGCTGCTGTGGCACCTCGTGCTTGTTTATTTTAAACTGAGGGGGAAAGGCTGTGTGTCGTCTGAGTGTTCTTGATGTGCTCATCTCGCCTTCATTTGTTTTTTGGCTCATCAAAGTTTGCAAAATGAAAGACAGTCAGCTCTTTTCTTTCTCAGATATCCTGGAAGACATAAGAGAGGAGTGTCAGAAATACGGACCGGTGGTTTCCTTGCTTATTCCAAAGGAGAATCCTGGTAAAGGCCAAGTAAGTGAATGGTAGGAAGAGGCTGTGTATTTCCACATACACTCCGTGTGCTGCAGGACTGCTGCTCAGTGCGTGGAAATCTCCTGGCTGATGGTAGTGCTAAAAATAGATGGTTATTTTGAAGGACAGCACAGGTTCCTTCCTGGTTATGTAAGGCTGCCA